ATCTTGTGATTTTCTTTTTTTTTTCCAGTAGATGTGCCAGATTTTTTTTTACCCTGTCCAAATAAGGTTTGAAGGTTAACCTATTTTTTTTTTGTTAGGCTCTGGAACTCAGTTCACACATGCCTACACTTTTGTCAGTTCACTACGCCAAAACAAGAAACATTTAAACAGTTTGTCGTCTTTCTCTCTAAGGAAAATTTCCTAGGTGAAGCTCTGAGAGAATGCATTACATTTAAATGTGGTGCAGCAGTTTCCTCATGATAACTTATTTTAAGCCTTTGATTCAAACTGTGAACTCCCTCAGGCCGTGGAGGTAGAATAAGATTTCAAGCCAAATGGTTTGAGGTTAGTATAGCCCACTTCAGCTTGCTTTATCATTCAGATGTGTGGTGGAAGCTATCGTGCATCTATCTGTATTGAACTATGAGGGGGAGATGTAGATCACTTTTGTATGGACACAAATGTGTGGTGTCTGTAGAGCACCAGGAAAAAGAGTTCAGTGATGCTGAGGTAATCTAGGCGTACTAGAAATTTTGATTTAAAGTTGGACTTCTAGCAAAGTGCAGGTTTCTATACAAACAAAATATTAGGACTACCAGCTTTGAAGATGTACAGAGTGAAGTCTTTGTAACTCCTTGTGATACAGCTAATAGGAGTACTGATGAGAGTGACAGTGAATGCTACACCAATGAAAGTGACTTCTTTAGGCTTTGTTCATAATCAAAGACTTAAGCCACTAAAAATCAAATGGGATTTAAATTTATTTTAATACTGTGCTGCATCTGTGTGCAGTTGTCTGTGTTCAACCCACCATCCAGAGAAGCAATTACTAGTTGTCGTTCAGTGTGTGTCGGTCAGTAACTTATACTGTATCTAAACCCAACTGAGTTTAGCAATTAGTGTGTACAGTTTTTGTCATGAAGGAATGTGAATGATGTGTTTAATGAGCTCAAGCTGTATTTGGGTTGAAACTTAAAGCTAACTGTGGTGTTACTTTATTTCAATTAATGTGCTTAAAGGGAGAAACTTGCGTTTAAAGCGGGCTGTCTTTTCATAGCATGCAGATCGAGCTGACTGTTCTTGCTCCCATGTTCTTACACTGCAGGACAAATAGGTCATCAGCTGCTAGCTGTGTACTTAGGGGAAGCGGGAATTAGCTTTTCATTTTACCTCATACTTTAAGAAACGGGTTATTTAGTTGAGTTTGTTCACTTGAAATATTGTCTGTACATACACAATAAGCCAGTGTTCTCAAAATCTGGCTTAGCGTTTTAACAAATGGTGCTTGTTCTGGGTACTTAGCTGATGAGTGGCAATAGTAGTCCTGCTGTAGTTGTTGCTGAGTGGAGCGAAGAACTTATAGGGAAACTGGGTGTTAGTGTCTTCTCTTGGCTATATTTGCTTCCATTCAAGTCTGTCTGCTTCTGTGTCTTACACATTATTGCTTCTCTTGTATCTCCTAGCTTGCTTCACCTGGGTTAGGAAATGATTATGCACAGTCTGAACTGTGCGTTAGCTCACATGCTTTGAGTAATTCAGGTTGGAAGAAGCCAAAATAGAGTAGGGAGTGATTAGTGAACAGCCATAGTAATAGGCCTGAATGGATGGTGGACTTCAGGGGAAGGTTCAGCTGATAATCTTTTTGCATCAGCTCTAGCAAGAGTAGATATGACTGTAGGCTGGAGTGTGTTAGTTCAATAGTGCAGAAGCTTCAAAGCTCAGATGAACACCTTGAAGAAAGAAAAATGTAGCTATGGCTTTCTGGGCCTGAAGCACTGCACTACAAGGTCTAGTGCCATATGCTTTGACAAATGAGAGTTTTTCTGTATGTACTAAACACCTGAGGTCCAATCTTCTGTGCACATGGGGATTTCCAACAGCATGGAGACCAACCCTGTGAGTTGGATGAATCTACTGGCCTGTCTTTAGTACTCTGGCAGGAGGCAGCATTGCATGGCTGTTCTGTATGCAGTGCAAGCAGCCATCAGCCATGCCTCTGAAACAACCACTCTGAGCATGAGGTGGATGTGCTGGGTCCGTAACCCCATTACTGGGATGGAACTGAACTTCTCAAGGTGCTAAAAGACCCTATAAAAAACATACAAAAACCCCACCCCAAAACCAACAAAAGTCTGTTCCTTTGGTTGCCTCTGTAGTATTACTGAATGTGTTGTCATGGAGACCTGTATAGGGAGGCTGCCATAAGCTTTGCAAGTCCAAATTACTGTCCAGTTGGCTAGAAACACTTCAGTGTAGAAATGGACATTCTGTGAATGCCACCTCTTCTACAGTTCCTATATTTGATTTGCTGGGACCGGACTATTGCAAGAACCTAGCAGTTTGTGATCCTTAGACTGAGCTTTAGGACAAATCCACTTAAATCCTGAGTTTCTAGTAGTACAGTATGACCCTGCTGGAGCAGGTGGACAAAGGGAGGAGGAGGGTAAGGAGTAGGGTTCACGTTGCTAATTTTATTATCTCCTGGCCTGACTTCACAGTGCTATCGGCACACTTATTTTACAAACTACTTAGAGAACTTACTACAATGCTTCTGCAGCTTTTGGAGAAAACTGGACTGTGAAGTGAGACTGCTTGTCCTGACCATTGCTTTGAGAGACTGCTCTGAAAGTAGTTCTTGAAAGTGGAATGTGATCCTTCAGCCTAGGATGCTGAAGTCTTCTAGGAAGGCTTCCAAAGTACTCCAGTGCTGCCTGAGACAGTGACTAGCCAGACTAACAGCATAAGCAGCCAGAAGGTAGTATAAAGGACCAAAAAGGTTGTAACATCTGCCTAGGAACACATGACAGGTTAGCATGTTGCTGTTATCCCATGCTGCTGGGATAAGCAGTAGCACTTGTTCTACAGTTCACATGCTTAACTTGTGCAATGTCTGTTCTGGAATTGCTAACTAGTTCAAAATCTCTTGAAGGGAAGGATGTTCTCTGCAACTTAAGCATGAAGTTACCAAACCAGCTCTTCTGGACAGATCAAGTTGCATTCACAGCTATCAACACTGTAGTTCTCCACCATCTGAAGTGCTCAATTCATGGCAATGATGGTCTTTTCTGTGTGTAGGTTGGGAGCTTTCAGATATATTTGGCTGACTAGTCAAAAAACCCCCCAACAGATCAACCTGAAACAAACAAAAAACCCAACTTGATGCTCTGGGCTTGACTGCAATTTCTGCTGGTAGGTAAAATCTAATAGGAATTGAATAGGACCTAAGATGAATCTTCTCTCCTGTCACCTCTGAGCTAAGTGAGCTTCAGGGGTGCACAATACTATTAACAAGATGTTGTGAGCTTTTAATGGGCATATGGTGTGTAAGCTCTTGATAGTACTATCTACTTGTGATAGGGAGAATATGCTTGTTTAGAAATAATTACTGATAAAAGACCACCCATTTGTTCTGAAAGCTTCTTGGCTTGAAAACGCTTTAGGTGGCTATGCTCTCCACTGGTGGAAGGATGCTGTTACAACAAAGTTACGACTTTGAGGTCTGCTAAGGTTTCGATGACTTTGAGGTAGGGA